TGGCGTGACTCTTGTAACGTAGTTATTTGAGAATAAGTATATATTATTATTATTATCTCCTGATACAGAGGAGGTTTGATCAGCATTCGTCATCGTCGGCAACTCGTTTGTCACATCAGTAACATCCAGATTATTATCATCGTCATCATGATTCCGTTCTGTCAGACAAGTCGCGTCGTTTCTGGCTGCACTAGCATCCGTAGAGTGAAACTCTTCCATTTTTGTATAATTCATCTCGCTACATGAAAGAACAGCATTAGTATCGCAATCCAAAACCGATAAACTCACTTGTTGTTCTTCATGTTTCGTTTCAGAGACACAAGACATATGCACATCAATAGCATCGTTATCATGCAACACTGTAGACTGACTGTTACCATCAGACGCTTCCATTTCATCATCACTAGACTGGCAGTCAACCGATGTAGAAACAGTTACAGTTGCACAACCTTGTGCATCTTCAATCAACCTAACATTCGCGTCAGGGTCCGATGACGTCAAAACACTAGAAGGCTCATTCGATGAAGTTGATCGACTAGTCACTATAGGGTGGACTGCTCACACTTTCTGTCTCTTCACTATCGCTGTCACTACTAAGATTCTGATGACTACTATTTCCATTGCTAGTAGTAGCATCCGAAAGAGAACGAAGTTTAGGCTTCTTAATTATCGTAGCAACATGTCGTTTCTTATGCTTCTTAGCTTGGGTAGCAGTATGTGAGCGTAACGTACGATAATTTCGACGACGATGAGTGTCTTTCAACTTCCATCGATCACTATTACTCGCAGGAGTATCATCAATTCTATTATCATTAGTAGCCGCAGCCGTACAAGCAGTAGTACACTTCTCATGACATCCAGTCGACTCATGCACAGTGGCTAACTCTACTCGATCAACATTGCTTTCTTTACTAGGAATGCTCTTAACCTCGTCTATCTTATCACTGTTGGTAGTGCTCATCCCGAAGCTTGTAGTACAAGTCAATGATGGTGGAGTGCGACAGGTGGACAATTCCATGCTCGATTCCTCATGCTGCATATTCAACACAACAGCATGTCCATAAAACCTAGATGACTCCTCATTGCACCTAGGGTACCGAATGTTAGCCCTCACAGTACTGCCATCACTGTGGCTAAAGCTATTGCCACCGACGCCTACATTCTCCACGCTCAAACATCCAATTTCGTCTTGATCCGAAGTACTCAAAGAAGCTACATTAGCAACATCAACCGAAGAAACAGTACTACCTATAGTGATTCCACTATCGTTAGCATCACGTTTATTATTCACATCAACCACACTATTAATAGATACATGGGGTTTCACCTCAACCTTGACGTTATTGTTGTCCACAATGATGTTCCGACCATTCACAGTTAATGACGAGTTGCGAGATAGTTGGCATGCAGGCTTTAAAGCTAAGCTACCACTGCTGCCACTTTCACTAACACTATCAATGCTGCTATGACTACTTGGACTAGTATACGACCATCCATCCGTTGACTGTAAACAAACATCAGCAGGACGCGCTTCAATATCATGATGCTCCGTAGAACTAGATACAGTAGCCCGCAGACATCCTGATTGCTCAGCAACATGAAGTGCTGTGTCACTATTTACGTTTGTTGTCCTAGGATCAACTCTAGGTCGTGTTAAATAATTTACCCTACGTGAAGGGTTCCGAACATAAGCTTTATTCCATACAGCCAAACCTGTTTTGCCCTTATTCATATTCACTGTACTCACTAACCTCTGTTTGCTCGAATCCAAATAACCGTTCCTTGCTTTTCGAGCAGTTAAGAGGCTTTTACCATCACACACCTCGGATCCATCCTGATGCCTACCCTTTTCGCCTTTTTCTTTCTTTTCCATACTTAAAAAAGCCATCTTATCTGCTACACAAACCGGCTTCTCACTAGGGTATGCATCAAGGGGTTTTAAACCATCGGGGTCACATACTCGTTCTTCAAGAGGGTATACCTTTCTGATACAATTAACAACTCTCTTAAATTCCGGGTGTGAGGTAGGTGTAAACAGATTTGAAGAATTCTCATGTCTCGCACGCAGATCACTAATAGCTTCCGTACCACGTCCTGTTTTAGCGCGATTAGCTAATCTTCTTCTTCTTAGCTAACTTCTACATATTACTAAAACCAGAACAAACGAATGAATAATGTCACATTTGACAGGTTTGTTCTGTAATATAATCATTGGGACAACAACTGTTGACTAGCAAAATGTTACTTTTCATCTTCTAAAATTCACTGATAAGAACAAAGATAATCTGTATTTCGCGTGACTTGATTTGTGGAAACATCGGTGATGAATTCGGTTGCAAATACGAATGAGTGTTCAATAGGACTTATAGTTGATGCTCAACTTTGAAATCAGTAATCCGAATGCTGTAGGGACGGATCTTATACCGATAAAATTGCGATTCTACAGATAGTTTTCAGAAGATCAGTTGAATGGAACTCATTACTATACATAATCTTCCTAAGTTTTGAGAAAGCGTTTGACAGCATAGATGGGCAAACGTTGTCGAACATTTTTTGAAACTAAGGAGTTCCTGAGAAAATAGCCAACATCATACGGACGTTTTATGGTGAACTTCACTGCAAACTCGTGCAGAAGATAGCTCAACTTTTTGTTCCTGGTGAGGAAAAATGTCAGATAAAGATGCTTACCGTCATCTGAAACATCTGGAGCTCAAAACTGCATTCAAGAAATACCGAAGTCAGAATTCGTAATACAAACGTCTAAACCTCCCTACTGTATAGAGCGCAAACTTGATAATACAAAAAAGTCATCATCCGAAAGACATCTGCATTTAAAACAGGCGTAAGTAGGTAATTATACAAACAGTTACAACACTTGAGCTCTGGTCATCATGAAGTTAGTATACAGTTCACGAAACTATGTTTTTATTTTCCCGTAGGATTGTACACATCTAGAACCCAATGTAAAAGTCTCGAATTTGGTAATGTTGATTACTTATCAATAAAGAATCTTGGAAATAAATATAAGTTACTCTTTTTCAGAACACTACGTTTTCTGTGGATTGTCCTAGCTTCTGGAAAGACCATTTTCTTTTCTTTTTGAGTAACTACCCACAAATATGATTGCTTTTGTCAATTATTCTCTAGTTACCTTGACTGCTTTCATACACATACCAATGAACTGAATTAAAATTAGAATAAGTCGTGCAATAATGCATTGAGTAATTATGATTAGGTATAAACACAAAACCTCCACAAATCAAAATTTCGAGTAAAATACTCTTAGAGTTTTACCCTAGATGAATAAGCAATGAGACTAGGTAAATCAGACTGTATAAATACCTACAGAGTTACTTTTCTCAATGGCGGATTATCGGATGAATTATGAAGAACAAGAAGTTGATGATGGAGCACAGTAAATTCATGCAGTATCAAAATCAAGGAAGTGTAGTATCGACAGATACGCAATATTATATTTCGAACAGAAGATTTTAGAAGCAGTTGTGAAAGCTGCACAAGGTTGTTCAGATTAAAAAAATACTGAGATTAACAAACTAGCTTGTACAATAATTTTTACTGGGGGAATCACGTAACTCTATCTGATTCAGGAGTGCTGATTCACAATGTGAAATTATTTGTCGATTTAGAAGCTTTCTGGATGAGATAAGAAAGCACACACAAACAAATGTGACAGCGCAAAATTCAAACTAGGATGAAGTCATTAAAGATTTCATCAACAAATAGACATGTAAAGACATTCTCCAAGAACCTGGATGATTTTTTTTATATTACAGAAAATAAGTCTTCGATGATCTCAAAAAGCGAATAAGTAGGTTGCTGTTACATACAACAAATTTTCTTTGCTCATGTTGGGTCTAATCTTCTTTTTTCTCACGCCCTCACTTATCCCTTTATTTGTTATTAAGTCGTTCCATTATACTGTATTCTTTTATCAGAGATTCTTTTCACATTGAACTTGATTTAGGAGATATTTGGATTTAGGAATATTCTAAAGGACTGTAACTCCAGTATCCGAGACAATTGTTTAAACACTGTGTAGTGGAACGCTTCTACGAAGAAAATACGATTTGTGAGGAATAAACATTATTGTACTCGTTTTGTTTAACTGTACCAAAAACACTTCTACGTTCTCTTCTCGTTGCTGCCATCTTTCTCTATTTTCTGTTCCCCATGTAATGCCAACATTCTCCTTCAATAAAACCTTGGAATATGGATTTATTTTGCTTTTTATCATGACGGGATATCACGGAACATTTGGTGGTGAGCATAGTCAATCTGGTATCTTGACTCGCTCACCACAACTGAATGAAACAAATAAAATCGGTGTACTAGTTTATAGCGGTGGTTCGGGCCAGTAGTTGTGTGGTGTATACCATTTACAACAAAGCCTATTGGTAGCATGCCCGTAGGTATGCAGCAGAGGGTCGCTCTGAATTTACAGACGAAGAGAAGATTGTTGGATCTGGATGCATACCACGATCAGTGTTTTGAAGAATAGAAGTTATGTGGAAGACAGACAAGGATAGTTTTATCGTTGTCGCTCATTTCATTTATAGTTTTGGGCTATAAATTTCATTGGTGCGCAAATATCGACAGCCTTAAATACTTACTTCTTCAAGATTTATTAGGAAAAATACACATAACTGCAAAAGGGTAACTGTGGAAACACGTTTAATACAGACTACTTATAGATAAGAATCGTTCAGTTTCTAGATACTTGTTTAACTACTTGTAAGTAGTCAGTTTGATTTATGAAAAGTGACACACAATAGAAGGTATTCAGCTTGACTAATCCTAATTAACTATCGTTTTCCTCTATTTCTATCGAATTCAAAGGATAAATTTTGAAAGAGCTAGAAAATTTCAAATGTTTATGTGGTTATGAAATACTTTCAATACCTTTTTCTATGGTAAATAAAATCTTATCCCAATTATGTACACATTTTGTACCCTAATAAGGACAGTTATATAAAATTGAATTATACAAATATTTATGTATATTGCATTAATCAAACATATGTAGATAGATATACAATAAACATACAATTATTGATGAATAATTAATAACAATCACAGAACTAGTGGCTTTCAATGACTAATTGTTATCTCATTTACAGAAGAAACATGTGATAGTTTACAGAGTAGGAAAAAAACAGGACAAGAATCTGAGAAATAGTCTCCAATTTCATAATAAACCAAGATGTTAGTGAACTGATGTTAATCCATACAAAATGATAGAAAAGCTTATAGTTTACAAATCTAATTGAATACTTCAGGATTTCATTTTGTTGATTGTGATAACACAGATGGTTTCAAAGCAGATTTACGTGTACACAAACATATACACACATAATGAGTTATTGAATATTGCCGGAAATTAGGCATCTTCTATTTTGAACATAAATCTAGGTGACCGGTTAAGTCAGGTTTAATCTTTTCATTGAATTTTTATATGCCTCAAAAGTTTCATCAAACAAGTGTATTGAAACAAAGACTGAGATTTGAGGGTAAACCTGAAAGTAAAAAAATTAGGTGTTGATAAGATTGTAATTGTCTTTCATATATATATGTATATTTCTCTTATTCACTTTGATTTGTTTTGTGTTAGAATTCTTCAAATTCTTTTGAACAATAATCCGTTTTAGATATTCGAAGTGGTTCTTCTTCGTAATCATCGAAGTTACTTGTGTCACCAGGTCCTTTACATGGTGGTAGGAATGGAGCACATTGCTGGAAGGGATGAAATACAAAGTTTAATCAATTTGTACGTTATCTTGGTGGTAATTTTAACTAGAATGATAGTTATAGTGATAAAAATATGTCAAAATTATTTTATGATTTGTTCATAAAGTTATGAGAAAGTTAAAACATCAATTTTACAAAAATGAAGTAAGCGTACCTAGTTAGCTGTACTTACTAAACGTACATATGTTGAGTTAAAAAAAATTGAGATAGAAAATCAAATTCATTGTGTCTAGTAAAGACTATTCGGCAGCACTTTTAGAAATAATTGAAATCGAAGCATGCTGATACTCGGTTTCATTTAGCCTACAAGGCATTAGTAACGTTATGATGGTGTAGAAGTACACTTTTACTTCTTTAAAAATTTTCATAAGGTTATAATTTAGGATGATGTTCTATTAAGTTCTATGAACAAACATTGGATAGAACTGGAGAGGGAAGCCCAGGACAGAGTTGGTTGGAGGAAACTGGTGGGCGGCCTATGCTCCATTTGGGGTAACAGGCGTAAGTAAGTCTATTAGGTTTTGGAATGGTATAAAAATTGCTTCGCTAACGAAATGATATCAGGGAAAGACTTGCTGAAAATCACGTAGCACTGGGTAATTGCCTTTTCCATTTTAGAAGTTTCACATAATGGACAATTATAACCGTTATTTAGAAGCTCATATCGACAGTGGTTACGTTCAAATCCGTTAGGTTCATCAAAAAGTGTCTTAATTATATATATCTCCAAGTTAAAATATAGTGACGTATATTTTCAACTTTATGAGTCAAAATAAAACTAAGATTCATCTCTCATAGGAACTGTTTGTACTGTGGTGCGAGCTACTTATAAGTAGTATATGACGTGAGTGTCAACGTAATGTCTGGCAGCAGAAGACGGGAGAAGATCAAGAAAGAATGAGTTAGAACACATTGCAATTTGTATGAAACTCATGAATAGTGACAATGGATTGATGTTTTGCAACAGGAACAGTCCAGTTCCATAGGATGAATTGATATTTTGCAAATTACAGATTTACGATATGGTTTTCCGATTTTACTGAGTAACTCTGTAATTTTCGCTAAATACAACTTGGTTGCCCCACCTGTGTTCTTGTTCACTACAGTACGATCAGTAGATGTTACTTTTGTATAATCATATACTTGAGAATGAACAAGTAATATACAAATTCAATTTATTCCTATCAAAATCTAACGAAATAATGCTTTCATGTTAGAGATTATAAAATTTTGTGCTTCTGTAAGGAATTTAAACATTTCCATGTTTATAACTGATGTTCATTACAAACTGATTGTGGAATCTTTTTAGATTCTACACAACACTCTTGGTGTTTACTATATTGTTCATTATTAATTAGCTATGAATAGTTCGTCATTTGGAGTTAGTCTATGATGATTTCAGACCAATTTGGTCTCGTGTGCTGTTACGGGTATGAGGGTGGTTGTCACTTCCCGGCTGCCCACACCATGGAAGGTTTTTTCTTGAGGAACCTGAAAAAAAAAGTGGATTAGTGTTGGTCCTAAAGACGTGAGAGAGTGACCGCAGAGCCCAAAGGACAACTGCTTGAGGACGGTCACGCACGGCCATTTTATGAAAGGTTTTTGAGTATTAGCTCCGCTCTTAAAAGCCCTTAGTGGGCACCCTCACCCAAGGAGACAGAAATCCGTGAGGTAGGGTGAGGTGTGACATTTTTAGGGCCGACCGTTTCCAGCCGTTCCTTCCTTGTGAGAAGGCAGCATCACTGCACATGCTGGTTGTCCGACGGAAACGCCTTACTGCTGTCACACCTCTCTGCAGTCAGTAGTACGGCTTCGCCCTTAGACCTTGGATAGCTGCTTTTAGTCTCATCGTTCTCCAATCGACCTGCCTGGCATGGTAGAACCTTCAGGAACATATAATCCAGCCAATGTAGCTCGATTGGGTCATCACGATAGGCAAGCCCGACTACCACGTCAGGGTAGCAGCTACAGTCAGGATTTCAAACTTTATATGATTATAGTTATTGGAGTATCAACTTTCTCAAGGTATATAATGTGTACTGAGTAAAATTATTATCTGTCAAAAGATCTGAGTTAAAAAAAAACATTCATAGGTTATTCAACTAGAGACCTTTCAAAATTTTACACAGATTTCAACCAAGTAATTCAGAAGTAAGAATCTATTTTTATTAGTTATCATTTACTTTACCCTACTTATTATCTTTCCATGAACTTAATCCCATTAATTTATAAACTCCGACAGTTGGAACAATCTGAAACTCTTTCCACCTCCCAACTGAGTTTGTTAACAGAGGAAAAAAAATTCATCTTCTGTCGAACAGTTCACTAACTTTAATTTTCTCATGAAACCAAAATTCAAATCAAAATCTCATTAAAATCACGAAAAGATCAATGTTAGACTACCACTGGAAGTTTGGAGGCACTGAACGACCACTCTAACCTAGTATGGGATTACTTAGGGGTGTCCGTTGATGACCTATCACCAGGGAATTGAATCGAGGATTTTCGGTCATGCATCCAAACGCTTAACCTCTTGTTCACGGAATTGGCATACAATCGCGTTAATGTCTAACTTCAATCAATTCAAGATATTGCACGACCATTTACTATTGTCTTCGGTGACTGACTGCTTCACACCCGATACGACTGAACTTCACTAGTCATGGGTTCTAAATTTATCACTGAAATCAGTTATGTTTCTTTAAAGGAAATTATTTTTGCATATGTCTATGATTTTTGATGAAGAAGTTTCAGAAAACATATTCGGTGTAGCTGTTCTAGAAGTCGTTAATTAGGATCAGTATAACAGATGTTCCATGCCTTCTGTCCCTAGGACTGTTGAGGATTCATTGTTGGTCTAACTAAGATCACTTAATGAAAATAAGTGTGTGAAAATTCTACTATTCCCATTAAGCTCATTACACCACTATAAATCATTTTTGTTCACAAATAACAGATTTCAAACTACAAATCTATTCAAAAGAGATGTAATCGATAATGAGGATTACTCATTTCAGCGTATCATCATTATTCAACTACCTTAAACCAATCGAATCGCATTAAATCCTATGAAACTGAGACTTTGACAAAACAGATGACCTTCTATGAAAACTAGTGACACATCTAGCTTAAAATCTTATCAAAAAAGTAATTTCTAAAAATGTCAAAAATGAAAGTTGTTTAGTATTTTTTTGATTCGAAGCATGTTATGTTCAATTGATATCTGTCAATGCAATCAAATCTTTGACAACTATGACATGATATAATAAACGTGAATCAATGTATTTTGTTTTAAACATACATTGAATGCAATAAAAACTTTTAAATTCAACTGTTGACTTTTGGTTAAACTGATTTCAATCCTCTATGTCTTACAATCTGTAACTAATTTCTGGTACTTGACTGAGCTTATTTTACATACTGATTCTATCAACCTGAAAAATTAAGTTTAGGTAAACATAGACAGCACCAGACATTCATCGTTCATACATAAGCATTAGCATTACAGGGTTGTGAAGATTGTTAAGTTACATATTCTTGAAACCATAAATCGATCAATGTTAGACCACCATTAGAAACCTGGAAGCACTGAAAGACGGCCGTTTCGTCCTGGTATGGGACTCCTCAGCAGTGCGCATCCACGACTCCTGCACCCGTTAGATACCGGCTCAGTGATCCGATGGTTAGGCGTTCGCGCACAATACCGAAGGCCCCGGGTTCGAATCCTGCGGGGTGTAGGAGTCGTGGATGCGCACTGCCACTGATGAGTCCCATACCAGGATTTGACGGCCGTCTTGCAGTGCTTCCAGGTTTCTAATAGTGGTCTAACATTGATCGATTCATGATTTCAAAAATGTGTAACATAAGTATTAATTAGTAAAATGCATCATGAATACCTACTTCTTTTCGATAGATTGTAACCCAATTAGTCGGTCGAAACCATTTATGACATTTAATATCATCAACACCATTTTTTAAATTACCATAACGTTTTGTTAAATCAGTTTGTAATAATTGTTTAAGAAGATTTTTCAATTCACTACTAACATGTCCAGGAAATCGAACCTAATAAAACAGTGGGAAAAAAAGAAAGATCGAATTACTGGCAAAATATAAGAATAACTAACACATTATTGAATATAATGAACATTGAACATTGTCAACGACTGATGCATTATGTCAGCGGGTGCATCAAATGAAAATATGTCACTGTGATATTACAAGTCAGTAATCGAATCTGCTGGTAAAAGTCCAACTCTTGAAAAGTATGATAATAAAAGTATGGTTGGTACATGAAAGCATATGAATGACAAAGTTATTGAAGGATGTAGAAATTGGTAAGTTAAAGTTAGTATTGCAATATAGGTGTGTGTGTTGTGTGATGAGATCCCAGCTCACATTGACCCATTGCACTTGATAGTGAAGTTTGTAATCTGAGATGATGATATTAGTATAACATGGATGGTATTTGTTGGTGGAGTTAGCAATGTGTAAGTGTTCGGTTGTGTAGATGAGAATTGTTTTGTTGTTTTTCAGTCTGCCGGTTGATTGCGTGGTGGTGATATTAGGGTAGATGAGATGGCGATACGATGATGGATGAAGTTGGCGATGGATGGCTATTGTCACGAGATTGTGGCGATTAGGGTTTTGCGAAGAGAACATGACTGGTTAAATAGCAATATCCCTCATTATCACGAATTGTAGGAGTGAACGTTTTACGGAAGATTTTGTTTATTGGTACTTTTGTACAACTCTTTCTTTTTCGTGCACGGTTGCAGCTGTGTACGTTTCGCCGATTTTGTCTGGCATGATTTCGGTATTGTTTTGGATACCATGAAATCGATAGCAAATATACTTATTTCATGTGGACTATTGTGTGTTTATGTTTATTAATTACTTGTAAAATAAAAGAATAAGTAACAAATTATTGAATATAATGAACATTGAACAACGTGAATCTGTGAACCAAATGTTTATTTATTTCTTGAGGCCAAGTATTCATTCATTCAGTTATTTAGTAGTTTAATTGCTCAGTCATATCAACAGTTAGGTTTTATTCTAGTGTCTTCAGTAAATGTAAATCTGAATCTGCCCTGTTACTAGTAAATCTTGCTTAAATGTCCAAACTGGAAAAAAGAAACCGAAATGGCAGTGACCATATGCATTAGAACCTAACATTGCTGAGATCACCTGTTTATTAAGATACTTTAGATGTTCAACTATGCCGATTGAAGCTCAGTGACAGTATAAACCATAGTTATTGTAAATTGAGAATTATTAAACATAATCCTAGTGACTTGTTTGTATCGCCATGATAATCAATACCTTGAAAGTTGCAAGCTTATCTTTGAATCAAGCTGAAAGTGTGCTCAAAATAGACAAATTTGAAAACAGAGAAAGTTCATCCATATTTTTACTTAGTTTACATATCCAGTCACGATGAATCATACAAGCTATCATTTTCCAAACCTCATTTATTTATAACGAAAGCCAATAAACTACTGAAATGATAAAATTAAATTTGAAATAGTTTATTGATATTTTGACTAAAATTTGATCATTCTTGGTTGACTTTTGAACGGACATCTTATGCAAATTGCTTCATAATAGCTATTATATGACACAAGTTCACCGAGTTCAAGTCCCAAAGTCAAATATCAAGTCTAAGATACAAGTATAGCCAGATAAAGAGTCCCAAATAGGACAAAATGTTCTGTCTTCATTTCACTGATAGTCATATTCTATGTGAGAAGACTGAGGCAGGCGAGGAAGATCGTTTTGTGCAAATTTACACTGAGTCAATTAAAAACGAAAACATTACATTGAACACTCTATTTGCACACCATCTTTGAGTCGTGACTTCCAACGCTCCATCCTTCTTCCATTCCTGTTGGTACTCCATTTACTTCTTGCTTTTGCTCCATTTGCTTTCCGTTTTCCTCTTGTGACCGTGAGAGTTCTTCTTTCACGTCCCTTCTTATACTACTTATATCGTTCGTATAAGTAGCACACACCACATATGTATTCTTTATAAATACTAATAAGATAGTTTGTGAACGAGTTAGAAGAGGAGATTAATGTACAAATGTCAGCACACAAACAAATCAAATTTTCCCAAAACCCTTGACGAATCCAGGTATGATATGAAGAAAGACGCTTTAGGGAAAAAAAGTGGACACATAGGAAAAAAGTATGTATATACTTTCATACATCTATTTATCTATAAAGTTTAAATGTCACCACTTTCACAGTGCATGAAAGGTGATAGGAAGTAAACAATGAAGGCAGTTTTTTTTTGTTTCATGATAAACTATTCATTGTTTACATACAAAAACTTTATAATACAATCATCTTAAAAATCAAGTCACTTACTTTTATCTCATACAGTGGAATTGTATATATATCATAACTCACAAACTATATATAAAGTGCATCGGTTAAATATTGGGCTGTATTTATACTTTTTGTGATTGTATATGATGAGAAAATGATAAGCAGTTATATTTGAAACAAATCAATACTTGGCGGTGAAATTGAATGACAACAAAATAGAAAAGCAGATCAGTATTATTATTCCATACTGTTCGTTTATTCAATAGCGACAAACCATCAAGAAGTTATTTTATTGTACTCTTTGATGTAATTCCAATCTTGGAGACGTTAGCGAGAGTTCTAGAAGGAATCTGCTTGTCCGGAGGTAGGGGGCTAGTCTCTCTAGTGCCCTACCCTTCTTGTGGTGTGTACAACGCACTTATCGGCCCTTGAAAATCTGAACGAGACGGTAATTTTAATGGGGTTTAAACCCTATTTTTCAAAAAAACACAATCAGTCTTCAAAATTTGAAGAGAATTATTAATCGTTTCAGAGATAAAACAGAGAGTAGAATACATTATTTCTGAATTGATTTCAAAGTATCCGTGATAAACAAAGCAGACTTACTTTACCAGCAACAATTTTCTCATAAATTTCTATGGGTTGATCAGCAAAAAATGGTGGATATCCACAAACCATTTCATATATTAAAATACCCATTGCCCACCAATCTACAGCTTTATTGTAACCCTAAATTTGATATTTATAAATTTAATTATTCATAAATAAATCATTAGATAAAGGGAAACATTTATTTAAACAAATTACAAGTCAAAATTTGAAACTGAAGATCAAAATGCTCCTAAGAAACTGGATCTTTTGTTTTAAATATCGTGTTTTACTGGGCTATTTATTAGTTTATCCTCAAAATAATCATCTAACTGTGTGAGGTGATGTGTTTGTTCTCTGAGCTGGATGTGGAGCTTTCAGTGTTCTTCTTTTGAACAACATCATTGAAACAAACTTTAGATAGAAATGTCAAGCTTCATAACCAAAACATCCAGCTTAGAGAACGCAACTTCACCACAATCATCCACTCGAACTACAAATTTTTGCCACCATCTGAATATCTAAATGTACCGATTACTGGTTGAATTCGAGTATTGAACATTTAATTATCATAGAAGTGCTTATTTTAAATATGTATATCCGAAAATGTGTGACAAACAGATAAATATAGAATAAATTGTGAAGTGCAGTAATTGTCTTTTTGATAATGAGCATGAAATTCTGTCGTTTTTGTTGATAGATACTTGTTTAAGTTGATTGTGAAAATTCACAAGAGTTGATTTCATATTACTTTTACTTGTTATCATATGATTTGAGTAGTACGTTTTGCAAACAAACTTAAGTGATATAAACTAGAGTTTATTTCTTTATCTTATCTGAACATTGTTAGCTTCGAGATCTACACATGAACTCACCAGTACTGGAATTTTAGTGATTTTGATTGTCTGTCTACAATTAGTTCAGTAAAGCTGAATTATTTAGTTGTGTGGTACTCAGTAACTTACATGGTAACATTGGCAGTTGTACTTTACAAGCTTGATTTATAAGAATCATGATTCGACCATTTTAAGACCACCATTAGCAACCTGGAAGTAATGGAATGGCGGTTTATCCGAGTATGGAACTCATCAACAGTGCGCATCCACAACCTTTGCAAGGAGGAATCAAACCCAGTAACTTAGGTCTCACGCGAACGCCTAACCTCAACAATGGAAATATTTTATTCATCTCCTCCCCTTCCATAGTTTCCTAATATTTACAACATACTTTTCTGTAAAGTTATATAATCTGATGTTTATAACTGATACCATGTTACGCGCGCACGTAAACACGTCATTTGATAGGCTTGAACTACTACGAGTTTACCTTGGTCGGAAAACGAGAGCGATGATCGAGGATCTGGCGACACGATATGCTACTTTAATCCTAGTGTCCCAACCCCCTCAAATTGAGTAAAATAAGAAGACTTGATATGAAGTAGAACATGTATTCTACCTGTATTCTACTGTGCAGTAGTTCGCTCCGTCTTACTTTATGGCTGTGAAACATGGCCAGTGAGAGTAGAAGATATTCGTAGGTTATTGGTTTTCAAGCATAGGTGTCTCCGAAGCATTGCTCGTATATCCTGGGACACCCGAGTGAGCAACGCTGTCATTAGGAATCGGGTGCTAGGTAAGAATGGAAGATCAATAGATGAAGTAATGAAACTTCATCAGTTGAGGTGGTTGGGACATGTGCTGCTGCGTATGCCTAACCACCGACTGCCTCGACGAACTTTGTTTTGTAGTGCAGGAGTAGGTTAGAAGAAAGTTAGGGGGGGGGCCAGACCAAAACATAGCACAAATCCATGAAGTATCGAAAAAGGATAATTGTAATTCTAGTGTGTTTCATGATTAGCATCCAAAGCCGTTCATTTACATTGGTTTTGCAACTCAATAAGTAAGACTAAGCAAATTTAAACAAAAAAAAGAACGACAATACTTCAAATATTGTGATTAGGCATCAGAGTTAACAGTGTTTAAGCACTTTAAACTACAGCAATAAGAATGATCTCAACATATATAAAGGGACAAGTAAGAGTTTCCGATACAACACAACAAGCGCCAGCCAAATCCCGCTTGATAGAAATGCCTTCGAGGAGATGAACACCCCTACATATCTGGGCGGGTGGCATGATTAACGAGCAAGGTGGATTCGATGCAGATGTAAAGGCGTGACTCAACAAAGCAAGTGCTGCATTTCTATAACTGAACGACATCTGGAGCTTCAAACAACTATCAACCAATAACAAGGTCAGAAGTTTCAAAATGAATGTCTTGGAGAACCACAAAAGCCATCATTCAGAAGATACAAGTATTCATTGACAGTTTTTTACACAAAATACTTCGGATCTGTTGGCCAGACACCATCGGCAAGATCCTACTGTGGGAGAGAACAAAATAGATTCCAGCGGAATAGGAAGTCGGGAAGAAGCGGTGGAAGTGGATAGGACATTCATTGCAGAAAGCACTCAGCTACGTCACAGGGCAAGCCGTCACTTGGAATCCCCAAGGTCAGAAGAAAGGAGGAAAGCCAAGGAACACATTACATCGAGTATTGGAGACAAACATTAGAAGAATGAACGAAAATTGGACAGAACTGGAAAGGGAAGCGCAGGATAGAGTAGGTTGGAGGATATTGGTCGGCGGCCTTTGCTCCATTGGGGAGTAACAGACGTAAGTTAGTAAGTAAGTAATAAGAACTCAAAACGATCTTCAATAGGCATATCTCAGATGATGAGACGGCTGATTCTTTTCCATAGGTATAATTATTAAGACCATTAGACACAATGAATTAAGATTAATCCAATCGTATTAAAAAACTAGACAACAAATTATTGGTTATCTAACATTTTGTTCACGTTCAGTGATCAAATTGCATTTAAAATCAATTTTAATATGACAGAGAATACTTACTTTGCTTAAAATAATTTCAGGAGCAAGATATTCCGGTGTTCCACACAATGTCCATGTTCTCCCTTTGATTTTTTTAGCAAATCCAAAATCGGTAACCTAATGAAAATAGAACAGAATTACCCGTTAGTGTACGAGTATGCATATATATATATTCAAGCATTTACCATAAACAAGCACTTAATGAACGAAAAGGTTTAGTTTACTTTAGTGAAAATGACATTTAATGTGTGAATGGGTCGAAAGAAACTGAAAGGCTGAACAGAACATTACCAGTGAATATAATGGAAAAGTTTATTTTCGGGCAGAGTTTTGGAGGTTTGTGTTTTTACACATTTGAAATCATCAATCAAACATTGTTATACCACCTTTAGAAACCTGGAAGCACTGCACGGTCGTTTCGTCCTGGTATGGGACTCATTATCAGTGCGCATCCAGGAACCCGGGACCTTCGGTATTGTGCGCAAACGCCTAACCATCGGACCACTGAGCCGGCATCCAACGGTGTTAATGTCTAACTCTGATTGATCTACGGATTTTGTCAAATGACCTTACTTATTTAGTGATAAGGTCATAATTTTACAGAAAACACTATTCATTAATATTCTGTTTGTTAAGGTTAGTAATAAAATGAAAGCTTTTTAAATGTTAAGTAGGTCATGTAAAATGAATAATAACCTCATGATATATTTTGAAGATAGTTTTTATCACAAATGAAATTCCCTTTAAGAACTGGACATCCTGATTTACAGTTTTTTAATTAGTGTACACCCATCAACTAATAACGTGTAGTGCATGTACTTTTATGTCGAACACACAAAGCTTGTCCCAAGGGTTCTTTGGACAAATTAACTAATCCATATTGCTTGAGTTACTATTTCCCAAGTCTTTCGACCTTGTCACGTACTCGCTTTTATCTTGGTTGTTTCTGTTTTCATTTGTGTGCACACTGCTTACTTTGCTTTTGGCATGTCTGGTTTACTCATGTCTGACTGTAAATACTTAGTCAGGCTTCATCGTATGGAAGTTGGCTCACTCGCCTTCTCTACTTAGCTTCGCTCCGCCTGTGTGCTTTTTATCCTCATGTTTATCTGTGCGAATGATCGCTTCAAAGAAACTTATTCAACTGAATCGGTATTTGACTTTTAATTACTGCTGTCGCACAAATGAAGTTCATCTAAGTATTATATACGGAAACTGAAGGGGAAATTTATTTCATAGCATACTCGAATGTTCGCACATAACAGAGTTCGATCATGGGCCATTAAAACCAAATGAAATTTACCATCGCCTATTAACAAACAACTGGAGAACTACGAAAGCCATCATCCAAAAGATACAAGTGTTAATTAACAGTTGTCTACGCAAAATACTTCGGATTCGTTGGCCAGACACGATCAGCAACAACGTACTGTGGGAGAGAAAAAACCAGATTCCAGTGGAGGAGTAAATCAGGATGATGTGGTGGAAGTGGATAGAACACACACTACGAAAAGCACCCAACTGCGTCACGAGACAAGCCCTCACATTGAACCCTCAAGGTACAATAAAAAGAGGAAGGCCAAGGAATACATTACGCCAAGAAATAGAGAAAGATATGAGAGGAATGAACAAACAGTGGACAGAACTGTAAAGGGAAGCCCAGGCAGAGTTGGTTGGAGAATGCTGCTGGTGGGCGGCCTATGTTCCATTGGGGGTAACAGGCGTAAGTAAGTAAGTAAGTAAGTATTCTCAAACGAAAAACAAAACCACTTTATTCACGCTCTCAATTTCAAACACTTTATGGTAGAGAGTTATCTTCATTGAATGTCATCGATAAATTACTGCTTCATTTTTGATGAAGTTCCCTACTCAGATCACATTTTCTCTCCCCTGAAAATGTCAAATAGAGTTAGTTACATTTTGAAGTCATTAATGAACACTTGGTTAGTATTTTGTTAACTAGGGATCAACTCTTGAGAAGGATAAAACTAGGGTAAAACAGTAATATTTGGATAATTTAACTGAACACTGTTTGACTCATATTTTACAAACTATCTAATCGATTCAAACGATCATTGTTAATGATAATATTTGATATATATATATCGAAGTAATCAACTAAATCTTATCATTTACGCATGCTTTTCTGTCATTCACATTGTTTTAGACTGAAAAAAAACGAAACTCAGTATATTATGTACATGTCTATCTGCATAAACTAATTCATCAGCCAATACAACCTGGTTTACAAAAAACAAATAATCAAAACATCTAACAGCATATATTATTTGTCCGATACACATTTAAATACCTAATGTCTATGTTCAAAATTCAATATGTGTTTTCTTTATTTAAATTTAAAGAAAAAATAAATATTTGGTTAATACACCTAGTCCTTGTTATAAAAGTGTCATGTTTTCTGTTTTCTGTTTTTTTTTTCTAAAAGGAAAAGAAGTTGAATCAATCAAAGATGTTCAAAATAAAATTAGAATAATATTGCGTGATGTTAGAGAGATTAGCTGCTTATCAAACAAAAAATACATTTTTAAAAAGAAGATGACTTAAAATTTGTCTACCTAGAAAGTACATTAAGGTTTATTCTTAAGAAAAAAAAGTAGTTGAAGTGTGATTACATGACTACATGAACAGAAATTATTGTAAGATTCTCAGTAGTTTCTTGAATCACTGTTTCGTGATAATCAGAGATAAATACTGAAAAACTGAGGCATCAGATGGCACTCGTTTTAAGAGAAAAGAAACACTAAGCGAATTTGTATAAAGTTGTTTCTAAAATCGAGGTCTTGTTGGGGATGTTAGATCCCCGAAATTCGCTTGATAAATGCCTTACTTAGGTTTTCACGTTTGCCAGCATGGGCTGATCAGTTGACCTTGAGATTTCAATTCCCATCAGGAAAATCCATGGCTGTGATTCGCTGCTGTGTATTTTAGTGTGCTATTTTCTTAACTGCCCCAAGGACGTTTCTATGTAGTATAAATAAACTAGAGTTGTATGCTTGATTGTGCTGTGATTGCTGGGTGTTTGTAGAATATACTTTCTACGCTTACCAAGACTTCTGTTTTACCGTTGGATTCAAGGTAGCCTGCCTGGACGCCGGTAAAAGTCTCGCTCGCGTTTATCGACTAAGGTAAACTCGTAATAGCTTCAAGCATACTAAGTGACGAACTCTACAGGTCTTTATTAACATCTTGAATAAAAACGCATTCAGAATGTATTCAGTGTATTCAGTCCAGGAAGAAATGGTCTTTAGACTACTATGATATATATGAAATGTAACAATTCCAGTAGTTCAGACAAGCTCCATTCATCATTGATGAGGATAATTTGAGAATATTATAACCAGTTATATCTAAACATTTTTTTAAGATGGTATTTGTACAACAATCTATTGATTCAAATAGACGACAAATATATGAACTTTCATGGTGAAAATCAAATATCCTAACCTCGTTCTACTATCTTAATCTATGCTGACAGGTGATCTTATAACAAACCTCCGTTTATTGAATGATGATTTTCATAATTACATAAAATAAAATGTTAAGCTCGTCTGTAGGTATGCTTAAACTATTATGAGTTCACCTTAGACGAATAACGAGAACAAAACAATGAACCAGCGTCCAGGTAGGCTACTGTTATCCCTTGACCAAATTGAATCAGTAAGAAGTCTTGATATAGTGTAGAAATTGTATTCTACAAACACCCAGCAAGCACACAATCAATCCAAGCACTCAAATTGCGTTTATTTATACTCTATAGAGACGTCCTTGGGACAGTCACAAAAATAGCACACTAAAATGACACAGTAATCAATCACAACCAAGGACTCTACTGGTGGGAAATGTTATCTCAAGGTCAACTGATCGGTCCATGAAATAAATCCAAAATAAAGGCAAATTTATCAAGCGAGTTCTGGGCATCAAACATCCCCCAACATAACAACTGGCTAACGGAATCATTGATTGAGAAAATGTAGACATTTTATCAATACTTTCAATGTTCAAACATCTGATCATATTTGAACATTGAACGTATGCAAAAGTTGTTGAACTAACCGATTGTTAACTGGTTGCATTGATTAATCAACCAACTTACTTTTAAATAACCATCACTAGCAATCAATAAATTCTCAGGTTTTAAATCCCTGTAGATCAAATCAAAGGAATGCAGATATTCAAATGCCAGTACAACTTGACTTGCATAAAAACGTGAATCTTCTTCACTGAAATGCGAAATAGAAATGAAGGAGATTAATTTTTATCGTACATTTACTATGTATTGTTTGAAGCATTGTTAGAGCATTCTCTCTAACTGAAACATATTATTTCCTTGACTTGAACATACTTGAATTCAAACACCGTTTTGTAAATCGATGTCATCGGACGATGGAGGTCAGAGTATCATTTGCTTTATGGCATGAAATGTGTCAGCTAGCTGGACACTTGGATTTCTTAACTTCTATCGATTGCCTCTAACTATTTAAAAGTTTGCTCTGAAGTGAATGACTACTGAATCAGATTATCTGTTACGTTCACAGCTAAGAGATGCATTTATACAGACAAAATGGATCAGATCAACATACGAAATTTGATTTAGTTTATAGTTTGAGAAATTTTACCTGTACAACAATGTTATAATGTTGTTAGAAGAAGTCACCTAAATAATGTGAAGTAAAATCTCCGTAGCATTTTACTAAAGACTCACAACTGTTCACTTTGCCAAGTTCGATCAGTTCACATTAAATTACAACAATCTATTTACCTAAATATGATTGTTCCTAAATAGCCGTAACTTCTGCATTAGAATATGAAGAGTAGTTCATCTCAAAGTCAGTAAACGATTAGATCATGATCATATTCATTCATTCATTCAACGGATTGTGGCGATAAGTTTAATTTCAAGATTCAATTTTATTGTGAACAGATTATTAGACTACATTGCTACTAGATTGGAAAGGGGAAAAATGAATAGCTGATTTTGTTCATATCTAATGTGTGCACATGTACATCAGTATGATGTACATTTCTGAATAATTTTACTTTGATTCTAATGCTACATTTTGATTTGTGCTAACTGGAAAAACTGCTGATAGATGAAATGACATGCATATGTTAGACGGTAAGACAATGTGTCTGTCAATCCAATAATCTAATTATTGGATATTTTGTCAACTATCAGCTGATTATCTTATAATATCATTATTATTTCTGCAATTGGACATCGAACTACATCAATTTTTTAAACTTACTTTTTTTCAAGTCTATCATACAGAAAAATGTCTAAATGTACATTTAAAAAAAAATAATTGAACTACTGTTTGAATTTAGTTAGTTAGTGGCTAGTATTAGGAACTATCATACGCTTTTGATGCACACTATATACTAAGTTAAGTTATACTCAGTTAATGAGTCAGTTAAAACGTAGAACTTCGTATGTACTCACATCGGTTCAAGTTGCCTTAGCACATTATCAAACAGATACAAATTTCAATTCTAATCCCATAGTAGTAGAGGTAGTAGAAGTATTAGCAGTAATCGGAAGGATTAGGGTTCGGAGATATAATTCAACAAGTATATCCTAGAGGAATAAATTTATAAGGAGAAAGATAAAGGCGATGAAGAATCTAGAGGATTAGGATTTGAGAAAACGCAAAGAATGGATGCACCTGCGACAGTGCAAACCCATGTCATTAAAGGTCTCTAACCATTGATTACTATCATCTCGCGGACCCCAACCAGGTCGTCTACATCTACCAACATGATTTTCGTCTCACCGCCCCTAGCTTTCGTCCAACCTATTCCTATATCACAAAACATATTTCGACGAGGCACTCCGTGGTTAGGCGTACGTAACACATGTCTCAGGCACTTCAAGTGATGAAGTTTCAATACTTCATTTATTGACCTGCCATGCTTACCTAGCACCCGTTTACTAACAACAGCATTGCCTACTCGGTTGTCCCACGATACTCGAGCAATGCTTTGCAGACACCTATGATCGAAAACCAATAACCTACGAATATCTTCTACTCTGACTGGCCATGTTTCATAGCCATAAATTAGGACGGAGCGAACTGCTGTATCGTAGACTTGTCATTTGGTTACAGTACTGAAGAATCAATACTTTTAACTTGAACTATGTATGAAAAAGTTATTTTATTGAAAAAAGCTTTATTAATCTTACCTGAATTTCCCAACTCTTCTTAGATAGGAAAACATTTCACCTCCACTGACAAATTCAAGTACCATATATAGATTTGAATTATCCTTTTATTATGAAATTTTAGATGTATGGAAAAAAAGATTATAATGAAAATAAAATATGATTAAATTTGAAAATGAGTTTTACTTCAATTAGTAGTAATCAGCCATCGGAAAGACAAAAGAGCAAAACTTAAAATTCTCTATTTTATGTTCATCCATTCCAGTAAGTAAGTCTGTCAGTAGTTGACATCTACCAGAGTGGACCCATTAGTTCTTGAAACGAGAACAATATCGACAAGCCATACGAGTTTTTCATTTTTAACTTCAGATATTTCGTAGTATACAGCTGTACATCTTCAGTGAGTTGACACCTTACTTCGAACGTGGTTGATGCCTACTAGTAAATTAATTCAAAGATCAAAAACTCTTCACGTTTGGCTTCACACACGATGAACAGCAGCCGTAGCTTAAACATAAACTAGTAAACGGTTTACGAAACGATCGTAAGCAATGGGTAGACGGCAGAAGCGGATAAAATAGATAAGACAGCAGTGATAAGTAACAGTATTCAGAACGGTCTTTAGAAATCCGATTGTCAGTGAAACTATCTCGGTAGAAGATAGAATTATTATTCACTCTCAGTCTAGGAGATTGGATCGATGAGAAGAATACATTAGGCAGCGGTTTAACTGACCTGCAGCCAGACCACTATCTTCAAGTAATTTGGATGGTGAATCTATAAGTCCTTTAACTCTTAATGAGGTTGCAAAGGCTATGGACTATCCAAAAAAAAGAGAGATAAACAGGGAAATGAGCTCAGAGAACGAAACATCATCACAATCAATCCACCTGAGCTTCAGATTTTCTCCACCATCTCACGTTCGACATTAATTTTACTCCATGACCTTAAGGCGGTCTTCATATCTGTTGATCGTGAGGTTCTGTGGTGATGTCTGTTACAGGAAGGCGTAGCTAAGAAATACGTGAACCTAATACTGGCTATCTACTCAAACACTGTTGAAAGAGTCAGAGCTGATGGTGAACTATCTCCGCAACTGCTTACTTCAAATAGTGTTCGTCACGGTTGTCGCGTTTCCTCATTTGTATTCAAATTTGTTATTGACATGCTCTTACAGAAAACACTTACATCACCTGACATTCACAATCAAGTGATTTGGATCTGACCCTATGTGAACAGATGAAGAGCATGATACACCTCACTCTTCTCTGATGACTCTGATCATAAACCGATAACATTCCATTTTTTATCGTTTGCCATGTCTTTTAATTACTCGCATATTAGTTTGAATTTGGTTTAAATTTATGCTGATTGGAAAAAAAGTCATTTATGATTGTCATCTCGTCTCCTTATTCATGGTTTTGTAAATATGATTACTAGTAACTATCATAATTATTCCGGTATTCTGTAACACTTTAACTATGTAAATCAGCATCAATCTTCATGATATTTATTGGATATTTCCTGTATTCTATTTTTCTTTGGATAATTTTAAACCCCCTTTACAACATCCTTCAACACTTCAACTGGACTATGTTAAACATGTCTATGACAATCAGGCTGTTTTCAGTGGATGAAAACAAGTCATAAAATATTAATTCACTCATTTTATTCTGTCAATAACTTTAGTTCTTTTTATGTTAACAACGTCGGATTTAAAGATGAAGTTGTATTTTTAACTTGTTGAAATTCATTAGTGTAGTTTAGATAGTTGATTGATTTAATTTACATGAAATTTTCACAGGAATAACCCCAAAACTGTTGATTGATACATGAGAAAACGCATGGAAGGTAGTTGTAGTTCTGGAGGCATGATTCAATGAAGTGCCAGTTATTTATTTCAAATTTCATTGAATAACATCATCATCGGAGTTGATGAATTCTTAGCTTCTTATCATAAAACTTTATTTCTACATAATCAAAATGTTTACACTAGTTGACTGCTGAATGAAAACAAATTTTAAGTTTGCTTAAATTGTATTAGGGGTTTAGTTTTATCAGTTAAACAAGGAATACGATGTAGAACATATAGAATATGGTTAACATTGGAAACTTGGATGCGCGTCTCGTCTTATTTGGGGCTCGAGCTATGTTTTGTGGTGTAGGAGTAGGTTGGAAAAAAGTTATGGGCGGTCAGACCAAAACATGGCAGAAATCCATGAAGTCACTGACAAGTGAACTGAGTCATGTTGATAGATGTAGGCTATCTGGTTGGGGTCCATGAGACGAAAGTCATCAGTGGTTAGAGACTTTGAACGACATGGCTCAGAATCGTTTGCAATGGCGCAAGTGCATCCACTCTTTGTGTTCTCTCTAATTCTAAACTTCTGAATTCCGTTTAATCTCTATCTTTCTCCTTCTAAATTTATCTCACTGAATTATACTTCTCGAATGATATCTTCGCTCCCTGATCTTCTCCATTACTGCTAATCCTTCTACTATCACTATCACTCTTGGATTTGAACTGACAGTTACGTCTCTGTGCTGATGTGGTATGTCAACCTGAACTGATGTACTTATGTACGAAGTTCTGCGTTGTATCTATCTGTCTGTCTGTCTTATTTGGGGCTCGCCGACAGGATGTACATGCATCTCAGAGTTGATATTCATTCCGGAACGCTCATCTTGGATTCCACTGTTAGCTGAATTCTGTCTATTCAATGTCAACGTGAAAATTACTCCACAGCCTTGTGCCGTACTTGAAATTTTCAAGGTTAAAGGAGACGATGAAGACCAGCGAATACAATTCGTTGATAATTAACGACACACATGAAAAGAATGACTAGCAACTGTATATATAACTGAACAAAGATAGTTCAACTAACTTCTGATCTAACATTTTCTTATCTAGCTACAAACATTTTCACACATTCAACTAGTTCATCGATTGGTTGCACTGTCCCATCTGTCCCACCCACTGTTATCAGCAGCGTAGTCAACTTTGAAGTAGTACATTTACACACACACACACACAAAAACAACAAAAAAACATCCAATAAACATTTTAAATATGTCAAATAATAAATAATTTTAATTAGTTCATTACACTAAAATATGGTTGACATTTATCTATTTAAACTTACCTTGAAACTAAAATCCATACTGACAAGAAATGGGAAATTGATTGCTTGTAAAATTTTCTTCTCATTCAATGTATGTTCTACTTGTTTTAATCTGACAACCTTGGGATCGAAAAAAACAAAACAAACCAAAATTTCAGTGCAAGTAAAAGAAGTAAAAGATTAAAGCAAAACAAAAAATAAGTAGTTGAAAGAATACTGATGAAGTGCAAGTAGGAAAAAAAACAGTTGCAAAGTTGATTATTTTTTTTACTTTTTTTTCTAATTATTGTTGGTAGTTACACATTTTTGAACCCATGAATCGACGATCAATGTTAGACCACCATTATAAACCTGGAAGCACTGCAAGACGGCCGTTTCTTCCTGGTATGGGACTGCTCAAGTTAGACATTAACACCGTTAGATACCGGCTCAGTGGTCTGATGGTTAGGTGTTCTCGCACAATACCGAAGGTCCTGGGTTCGAATCCTGCGGAGTGCAGGAGTCATGGATGCGCACTGCTGATGAGTAGTCCCATACCAGGACTGAACGACCGTGCAGCGCTTCCCTGTTTCTAATGGTGGTCTAACATTGATCGATTCATGGTTTCAAATATGTGTAACTTAACAATCTTCACAACCCCGTAATGCATACTGTCAGTAGTGCTGATAATGATAATAATAATTTCGGGTATTAAGACTGGTTCATGTAAAATGAAATTCTTAATCAACATTTAGGGGAATTGAATTTTGGTACTCGTTTGCAACCAATCCAAAGTTTTGCAATGTGGAAAACGATCGGCTACTGGTTATGATGACAGTGTCGATTATTGAATTAACTTGAATAGATGGAGTTATCAAATTGGTGAAATGTTGATGCAATGTAACCTTATCTTGAGTACAGTTCAGCAGTCAAAAAGTCAGTCAGTTACAACGTAGAACTTCGTACGTGCATAAATCAGTTCAAGTAGCCATACCATATTACCACACAGACACGCAATTGTCAATTCGAATTCCATAGTAGTAGAGGTAGCGGAAGTATAAGCAGTAATCGTAGAGATTAGGGTTCGAAGATAATCTAGTGAAATAAACTTATATGGAGAAAAATAAAGGTGATGAAGAATTCAGAGGATTAGGAGTTGACAGAACACTAAGAATGGATGCAACCTTGCCATTGTAAGCGATTTTTAGCCGCCATCCATGGTTTCTAACCATCGATTATTATCATCTCGCGGACCCCAACCCGGTAGTCGACACCTACCAACATGAATCAATCCAGTTGTCAGTGACTTTATGGAGAACGACTATCCGACTATGTAAATACAATAAGACACTAAGCTATCATTTATATGAACAATGTGTTTAGTGAGTTTAATTCAACGGAGCTACTTATTTGAAATCAAGTGATTAAAATGGTCAAAATACCTTTCTTTTTAGTGTAACAGTTCCTAAATAATCAGCAGAGAGAGTACAATTCATATGTGAGTGATTATAACTACTATAATTGTGATCACTCTCTGTCGGTATCAATGTATCCTGAGATGTTTGTTTCCATATCACCTTTGATTATGACATTTTAGTGTATTAACACTGGGAAAATACTGTTCTACAATTAATTCTTAGTAAAATTCCATGTTAATGAAATAACAATCAAGATAATTATCGGGCACAGTTTTAGGGAATTATACCCTGTAGTAAAATATATGTGAAAACAACCCAACTGTTAAAGTAATCAGTTGTAATAATAGCAATAACTGAGCAGCAGCTCACTCCGTCCTACTTTATGGCTGTGAAACATGGATGGTAGATCAATTGATGTAGTAGCGAAACTTCATCTTTCGAGGTGGTTGGGACATGTGTTACGAATGCCCAACTGACGACTGCCTCATAGAGCTATGTTTTGTGGTGTAGAGGTAGGCTAGAAGAAAGCTTTGGGCGACCATACCTAAACATGGCACAAATCCATGAAGTCAATGACAAGTGAACTGAGTCATGTTGGTAGATGTGGACGACCTGGTTTGGGTCCGCGAGACGAAAGTCATTGTTAGTTAGAGACCTTGAACGAGATTGCTCAAAATCATTTGCAATGGCGCAGGTGGATCCACGTTTTGCCTTCTCTGGATTCTTCATCACCTTTATCTTTCTCCTTATAAGTTTATTCCATTGGGATATACTTCCTAAATTACATCATCAAATCCTAATCTTCTCTGTTACCTCTAATACTATTGCATTTAAAATGACAGTTGTATTTCTGTGCTAATATAGTATGGAAACTTGAACCAATGTACGTACGTACGTACGTACGAAGTCCTACATTGTAACTGATTGACTGACTGATCTATTTTTTATTATAATCCAGTATAGAAAGGCCAGAAAGACGCCACTTTACGAATGTTTAACAACAATACAATATACCTCTATCTAAGAGCATTTATTACATACAATAACACACATTTTATGTAGCTGATATTTACAAGAAAACCAAAATACTTAATATCCAACATAAATTCATTTCAGAATCTATATTTGTCAATAGTTAAATTTCTTTATTATTCTACTAAAACTGTTGACTTCACAAACGACCAATCCATAAAATTGTTTACACACACACACATCGTTCTTTCAACGACACACACTGTTTATTTAAATGGTTATTAGTCTTATTTAACTTGTCCGTTTAATAATATTAATAAAAGACCACATGTTAAAAAAAAACACCAAAAAAGAACTTTATGTCAATGTTTTGAATATGAATAAATAATTCACTAGTAAGTAAGTGGTTGTTTTTATTTGTCAAACTTTATGATTATTGAACATTTGTTCAATTATTTATTGATTGTTGAATTATGACGTTTAAATAACAGAAAAACAATAGTTTTTTCCTTTACACTAAGGCCTGTATGAATTTAGGAAACAATAATGGATCTTTCATTAGGAGAGTTATGTAGATTGATTTTTTATTACTGGAATTATTGTTAGACCACCACTAGAAATAACCTTATCCTCGTCTGAATTTTCAGGAGAAGGCCTTCTACCAGGTGGCTCGCTTATTGACTTAGAATATGCCGATGACATAGTCCTACGTGGTGAAGACGCTGAAAAATTGCAGAGTCTTCTGACTACCCTAAGCAACAATGCAAGCATGTGCGGGATGTGGTTTCCCCCCTCGAAATGCAAAATGTTACTTCAAGATCGGGCTGTATCGGCACCTGAACTAGTGATCGGGAGTGAAGTGGTCGAACGTGTAGACCGCTTCACTTGTCTGGGGAGTTTCATCAGTGCTGATGGCCTGGTGACTGACGAAATCTCAGCTCGGATACAGAAGGCTCGATTAGCTTTTGTCAACCTGCGTCACCTATGGCGCAGGCGGGATATCCGTTTGCTGACTAAAGGACGAGTGTATTGCGCAGTATTTTGCGCCGTCTTACCATATGGTTGTGAAACATGGCCAGTGAGAGTAGAAGATATTCGTAGGTTACTGGTTTTCGATTATAGGTGTCTTCGAAGCATTGGTCGCATATCCTGGGACACCCGAGTGAGCAATGCTGTTATTAGGAAACGGGTGCTAGGTAAGAATGGCAGATCAGTAGATGAAGTAATGAATCTTCATCAGTTGAAGTGGTTGGGACATGTGCTGCGTATGCCTAACCACCGACTGCCTCGACGAGCTTTGTTTTGCGGTTTAGGAGTAGGTTGGAAGAAAGTTAGGGGCGGCCAGACCAAAACATGGCAGAAATCCGTAAAGTCATTGACGAGTGGACTTAGCCATGTCCGTAGTTGTCGACTACCTGGTTGGGGTCGGCGAGATGATAATAGTCGATGGTTAGAGACCTTGAATGACATGACTCAAAATCGTTCGCAACGGTGCCGGTGGATTTATTCTTTGTGTTCTCTCAAACCCTAATCTTCTGAATTCTTCAACACCTCTAGTTTTGACTTTCTAAACTTTTTTCACTGAATCATACTTCCTGAATAATATCTTCTAATCCTAACCACTCCGATTACGTCTACTACCTCTACTACTATTGGATTTGAATTGACAATTATATCTCTGTGCTGATGTGGTATGGCAACAGGAACTGATGTACTTACGTTCGAAGTTTTACGTTGCATCTGACTAACTGACTAGAAACCTGGAAGCACTGCACAGCCGTTTCGTCCAGGTATGAGACCCATCAGCAGTGTGCATCAACGACTCGTGATACTCGCAGGATTCGAAACTAGGACCTTTGTTCTTACCCGCGAACATCTAACTTCTGGGTCGCGAATCCTGAGAGAAGCAGAAGTCTTGGATGTGTAGTGTTGATAAGTCGCATACCTGGACAAAATAGCTCTCCAGTGCTTCTAGGTTTCTAATAATGGATAATACTGGATCTATTTCCCAATATTTTATAGCTTAAACCAGCAATTGATTTAGATTAGCAATCACCACCTATTAAACAATATGTTCAATTCTCAACATAAACCACTAAAAGTTAAACAGAATTTCTAAAGAATGATTTTAAATGAAGCCATTTTAAGAAAAAAAAATCTAATTACTTTTTGTTTTTCTAAAATTTTCATAGCATAATAAATTTGTGTTGTTTTATCTTTGACTAACATAACACGACCAAATGATCCTGTACCAAGTGTTTTTATACGATCGAATTGATTCAAGGTCCCATTGCTCTGATTGAACATTGAACATTGAAAAGAAGGATATCACAATAACATTGGTGCAATTTAATAAAATATCTTATACACAGATAAGAAAATAAAAACACTGATTATTCGAAATAGTTGAAAGGTAAAAGTATTCTCGAGCTTAACAATTCCAAACCGCTTAAGTTTACTGGTGTTTGAGATTTGATAACGAATGACAGTAAATCTATATTTTATCAGTCAATAACTTGACTAGAACTAGAATAGCGTTCACCCAAAACATGGTAATTTAATGGTTTAACACAACGCCATCATATCTAAATTGTTATTGAGTTATAGTTAAGTAATGTGTTATGTTAGTTGTGTGAAAAATTCATATGACATAAAGGCGATTTCCATTGCGGATCGATAACAGTTGTTGAACTAATCAATATCAGCTGTCTGCTGTGAAGTGTTAGAGTCAAAAGCAATCAAAACTCATCGAAGGTTGGACACAGGGCTTAGAGCTGAGTAAAGTACTATTCAGTCAATTAGTTGACAATCAGTGATGGATTTTTGTTAGGATATTCATCCAATATCCTAAGAAAATTATTGGTCAAATCCTATTTGTCGATTTCTATTTGTCAAAATTATGGTCGTTTTAACTGTCAAAGGCAAATACTTCAATGTTGTCTCTTATTCGTCATCCGGACTGTCAATGTCACTTCAAATGTTGCCTCCTATTGGTCGTCTTAACTGTTAATGTCAAAGACTTCGATGCTGTTTCCTATTCGACCAAAATGTATAAATACGCAATATCTGTAACGTTCTATGATGACCAGGACCAGGACCCGGTCCCGAATTCCTAGTCCGGGATCCTGATTCTCTTCTGGACTCGGACCTCGTACTTTCTGGATGCTTGTAAAATACAGGTTCTACATCATATCACGTCTTCTTATTTTCACTGAATATGGGGGTTGGGATAATTGGATTTGAGTAGTATGTTGTGTCACTGGATCCTCAATCCTCGCTCTCATTTTCCGACTAAGGTAAACTCGTAATAGTTCCAGTATATCAAGTTGGCGTGTTTACGTGCAGACATAACAATTTTCAACAAAACTCAATTTTTGATGTCTCATAATACGCATCCAATGTCATCATATATTTACTGATGAATCGTCTCAGGTAGAATTTCTTAAATTTTACGGTGAATTTCATTTAAACTATCAGTAAGACAGCCACAATAAATAACAGTGGATACGAAACACATTAAACCAAAGATTGACTGATATGTAAAAATTTGAATTAAATCAAACCATTGAAACGAGATCATATGATATCTGCATGAATACAAATAAACTTATGATTCTTAGTATATTGTTCAAAGACAATTATAACTTTCAATCATGATGATGAAAATCTGTACGTAATTGATGTTGTAAACAATATTACGTTTAAACTGAATATTATAATTGACGGAAAGTTTCATAGTGATACCAATGACTATTGAAATTATATATACAATGAAACATTTTATGTAATATTATTATTATAGTTTGTATCAGATTTGTTTATTCGACAGACTAAATGGTAGACGGTGTTTAATTTAAACATTTCAAGTAACATTGGACATTGTCAGTATAAGTTTAAACAAAATTACGTGATTATGACGTGAAATATAAAACAATGTCAATTTACAGTATATAGGTTTTAATTTAATCGTTGATCATGTTCAAAACGAATTTAGATAGTTTATTGTGATATATGAATTCCTTAGATGAATGCCTAGATTTTGTCTGAGAACATTTAAGTGTTTATTCTAGCTTTTACTCAATGTACTCAATGTACCTATAGTATTTAAGTAGTCTGGTCAACAATGTAGTGGAATCTGAAGTGATCAGTACTGGTTTCGAGGATAGACTTGAACATCACACCACTGGAATACAAGTTGGGTTAACTCAACACACTTTAATTAATTTTCAATTCCTAATTCGAGTTATAAGTAGTGTATAATTGTAATCGCACTTGTCAACGTAGTTTATTCAATGAACTTCTAACTTATGACTTATAGGAATCGTAACTTTGAAACAAATCAAGAAACTAGCGTAGTTTTTGGCGTCAAGCAAATAAGAGATCTCAACCGAATTCCATTCATCGTAATTTCAATCTGTCTGTTTTATTTCTCTTCTGAAATCATGAATCGGTCAATGTTAGACCACCATTTGAAACCTGGAAGCGTTAGACAGCCGTAAGGTCGTGGCATGGGGGATCCACGACTCATGCACCTCGCAGGATTCGAACCTAGGACCGTCGGTCTTGCGCGCAAAAGCCTAACCTCTGTAAAACTGAGCCGGTATTATATCACTATGATTTAATTCAGTTTTCAACTAGTACTGTGCGCAAACCCATTCATCACATATATGCACATAGATTTTGGCTAATTGCAACTACTCTCGATCAATCAAAGATAAAAAAAACGTATGCCACAACGAATACAATGATTGATTAATGATTTCAAATGCGTAAAAACACAAAACCTGCAAAACTCTGCCCGAAAATATCGTAACAGTGCTTGCTCACTAGTGACTAGCTTCTTCGTGAGGAAATTCTCGGAGTTCTAGTTGAGAAGACGTGACCATTGTGGAGATCAACCCTGTCGGGTGTAGGCAGTAACTACCTAAGACAAATGGGTAAGGTCGCGCAAAAATCCCTAGATCAATCAAAGTTAGACATTAACTTCGTTGGATACCGCCAGACCAGTGATCCAGAAGGTTAGGCACTCGCGCACAATACCGAAGGTCCCGGGTTCAAATCCTACTAGGTGCAGGAGTCATGGATGCGCACTGCCACTAATGAGTAGTCCCATACTAGGGCAAAACGGCCGTCTTTCAGTGCTTCCAGGTGGTCTAATGGTGGTAGTCTAACAATGACTGATTGATTGATTGATGATTTCAAATGTGTAAAAACACAAAACCTCCAAAACTTTGCCCGAGAATATAATATATCAGGTCAGAAAATAAACTCAAAACGATAAAGTTTTGTAAAAACAATAAAGAATAACCTCACCTTTTTTTAAAAAAAAACAATGAAATACAATATGATGATTTTAATATACAGGCTTTATTTATTTCACTGTGTGTGTGTGTGTGTTGTTTAACTCACCTGAGTTGGGTGTGACCATTTTTGTTCGAATACGCGAGATTCTTTTTCAAGATAATCACCAACTAGAAAAGTTCATCACACAAAATAAAAACAAACAAACACAAATAATGATGAATGATCGGTTTGTTTTTTATTATTGTGTGTTACAAAAAAAAATTATTAAATAAATATTTCAGATTTTTGTTTGTGTTTTTCTTTTCTACAAACAGTAAATAAATAAGGTCTATTGAACGCATAAACTATGATCATGGAAGAATAGGTTTTGCTCTGTTTATCAATAAAATGGAATATAGTTTTTTTGTTTTCAGGGCGTTCATTTTCATTTGTATGATTGATTCCCCGATGTCAATGAATCTTCTGTATTTTTTCTTACTTATCTTGGCCAGTAGATCAGTTTTTTTCATTCAAAACTGTTAGAACTTTCAACAAATGCTGATTTATTTGAAAGAATGAATACAATTTTTTTCCAAAAATTGAAATTTACGATCAAATGTTGATTTGTTTGTTTACTGAATTCGAAAATGAATTATGTAGAATGATGCGTAAGTTTGAAAAAAAAGGAATTTTCTAGAATCAGTGTTGGAAGTGACAGATTTTTACTTTTTTCCTTAACAAAGTCATTAGGTACGCTTGAAACTATGACGGGTTCAACTTTGTGGTCGATAAACGTGAACGAGACAATGAACTAGCGTCCAGGTAGGCTACCCTGATCTGAAACTGTACGTCTTGAACAGTATTTGGATAAAAAATGGTAGATAGATTAAAAGAAATTCAAGTATTCTTCTTGAATTCCACAATAAATGATCAGTTTGATTAGTAGCCTTTGTAGTATAGACTCATGTTTATCAAGCAGTCGACTTGTATAGCTAGTCAGTCACGACTAGCTTGTTTTTCAGCAATCGAATATGATGTTAAGTACTAAATGAAACGTGTTTTTTTCTAAAACTTCTGACTTCTTTATGTATTGGGTCGTGCTTCAACGAGGAATTTATTTCTCAATTTTGTATAAATTATTCCGTAATAAAATGAGCTTCTATTATCTTAATTTGTAAAGATTTTTATTCATGGAAACGATATGAGAAACGCCAATATCAGCTTCGGAATGTTTACGATAAGCAATATGTCGTGCGAGAAAATTTCATTCATTTGTCAAATAACCATAAAATTAATTTACCTAACTTTGTCATCTTAATAAACGCGCTCATTGGAAACAACAACTGAAAATCAGTGAGCACTGGAGAGTTTTGTTCGACCCTAGTTTAGGCACACTTCAAAGCAGTGTATACTGACTGAAGTTTCTGCAAACGAACCCAGAAAAGGTAGTCCTTGTTGTCACCTTGTTACCATAAAAATATACATCATCATCCTCATCATCATCAACAGCAACGTAGAACTTCATAGTACCTACATCAGTTCAAGTTGCCATACCACATTAGCACAGAGATGTAATTTTCAATTCAAATCCCATAGTAGTACGAGTAGTAAAGGTAATAACAGTAATCAGAGTGTGGTGCGCGCTACTTATAAGTAGTACATGACGTGAGTGAAAACGTAATGTCTGGAAGCAGAAGATGGGGGAAGATCAAGAAAGGAAGAGTGGGAACACAATGGAATTTGTATGAAACGCATGAATAGTGAAATGTCAGATAATGGATTGATGATGGATTGAAGATTTGCAAATTAACGGTTACGATATGGTTTTCCTATTTTACTGAGTAACTCTGTAATTTCCGTTACATACAATTCGGTTGCCCTCACCTGTGTTCTCCTTCACTACAAGAGAGATTAGGGTTCTATATTTCTATTCAAGAAATATAATTCAGTGAGGTAAATTTAGAAAGAGAAAAATAGATGTGATGAGGAATTCAGAAGGTTAGGATTTGAGAGAACACAAAGAGTGGATGCACCTGCGCCATTGCAAACGGTTTTGAGCCATGTCAACCTAATATACATACATATGTATGATTATTTGTCATCAAATATGGCGGTCTAGGCTTTCATTTAAAAGTATTTGATAGAAATTAACTGTTGGCATTTTCAGCTATTTCAAGTCTGATTGTTTCTCTAGTTTACTATGATTTAACCGCATGCTTCCTTTTATGTCGTCAGAAATTTTGCAAAATTATCCCAATAGCTACTTTCAACTTTTAATGGATATAAGTATGAGTTACTTGTGTTTTTTTCCTCCCTGTAGAATGAACAACTGTCCAGTGACTTTAGTAAGTCAATTGTTCAAGTTACTATGGCGATTTCAATTGTCCCGAAATGAAGCCTACAATTTTTTGTTTTAAATCTATCCGTTTTTCAAAACAATGTATTTCAATATTATTTCTAAAAATAAAAATATACTCCATATTTATCTTATTATTGAAGTTATTATCTAATTTATAGTTTGTCATCATATGTTATTTTTAAAAAGTAAAGTCTTACATACAGTTAGTTCTTTGTATGTTATCCAGATGCTTGAGCACACTAAGGTACAAACTTACTGGTCAAATTTGTAGCTAGAACAATTCAAAAGGTGAATGATCCCTCTACTGTTCAATGACTAGTAAACAACTGCCTAGTGGTGGTTTTATTTTCATAATATTTAATGTACATTAGTGAAAAGTACTAATTCGTGCTAGTAAGGGACTCCCTCAGCAGATTTTGACAGAAAAACTGGCGGACATAAGTATGCATTACCGGATTGTGAAGATTGTTAAGTTACACATTTTTGAAACCATGAATCGATCAATGTTAGACCAACATTAGAAACCTGGAAGCACCGGACGGCTGTTTCGTCCTAGTGTGGGACTCATCGGCAGTGCGCATTCACGACTCCTGCACCTCGCAGGATTCGATCTCGGGACCTTCGGTATTGTGCGCGAACGCCTAACAATACCAAAAGTCCTGGACTCGAATCCTGTGAGGTGCAGGAGTCTTGGATGCGCACTGCTGAGGAGTCCCATACCAGGACATAAAGATGTTATCAGCATGTTCACATAAAGTACATGAAATGTGACTAGTAGTGAACTACAAGATTCGCGTATCGTCCAGTTTGAACTTGCCAACTGGATGTACCCTACCCAAGACCTAAACTCAGTACCGTTTGTTTAAAACGCCTGATAGTTTATCACTTGTACAACAAGTAAGAGATTTATTTCAGTTCTAAATGGCTGTACCGAGGTAGTTTCCTTATAAAAAGCCTTTATGTTGATCAACACTAATAAAAGTTTTGCCGAAATATCAACAACAGAATAATCGCAACTATTTCAAATTGAATTATCAACAAGCTCCAAATCAAATTAGCCTTTATAGATGAATAATAATGATTGACTATTTGAAATGCATATCTTAAAATGTTGCTGATTATATTTTTAAGTAAACAATATTTCAATCAATCAACTTTGCTGACTACTAAACTAGATAATTTTATCTCTTTTCGTAAGCCGAAAATAAACAAAATTTAACTATTGATATTTGAATGTTAGAATGTCCTTAATGTTATTCAGAAGTGTACTTCGGGTATATTTCTCTCTATAAATTGAACGATTTCATACAGATCTTAGTCAATTACTCCTGTTACGTTTGTTAGAATAATCAATGAAAGCTAATGTTTATGGTATCATATAATTAGAACGGTAATTTGAGAGAAAACTATTGAAATTAGTCCATAAAGTGTATATTTATTTGACTATATGAGTAGAACTCATAATATTCTTTGGTCTAACAGCCTAGTTTACTACTACTAGGCCAGCGAATAATTCATATCAAGTTGCACGATCAATAAGCTTTGGGCAGTATATATATTGATTTGTGAAATCAGTCAATCATTTTAGGTCGCTTTAAGGCAAATGAATTTGTATTCTCCTCATAGAGTTATGAAGATTATAGAGTTGCACTGAAATCATGAATGGATTTATAAGTCTAGAATGAAATACATGAAAACGTGCTCACTAACTTCATGAAAAAAATTCTCGAAGTTCTAGTGAGAAGTGGTAACCATTAGGGTTCAACTGTGTCCGGTGTAAGCAGTCATCGATGGAAGACAATGGGTGAGGTTACTGAATACCTTAGATTGATCACAGCTAAACATTAACACCGTTGGATACCTTCTCAATGGTCTAGCGGTTAAGCGTTCACAAGAGAGACTAAAGGCCCTGAGTTCAGTTCCCGTAAGTAGCACGATCGTTGATGCACACTACTGATGAGTCCAATACTTGGATGAAACGACCGCCTAATGCTTCCAGGTTTCCAATAGTGCTTCTACAGTGACCGATTCGTGATTTCAATGAAATTATATTTGTCATTCCTTAGTAAACTTAATTTAAGAGATAAAAAAATTAGCCGCCACACTAATCTTCAATAGTTTTGTCAATCATCATGAATAGAACCTTCAGTTGTAATAATTCAGATTCCGCGTATGAACGTATGTACATTCAGCAAATTATTGCACTTCAACTGATTTTTTCTAATCAGCTTTATTTCATGTTTCAAGTTATCATCAAAAAAATAATGATTATACACTATAGCAGAATTTAATGTGATTCTTTCAGTTCAGAAATAAGTTTTTATCTGTTCAGACAATGTTTTTGATTAGAGAAAGAACATTTTAATGTTAATCAACTGCTTGTTTTTAATTAATGATCTATCAACATTCATGTATTAGTTGAAGTAGATTTTTTTTATTAAAAAACTTACCTACTGAAGTAACAAGAGTTTATTTTCTAAAACCTTTAGAATACATTTGAAATTCCTGTGTTATATATTTAACAGAATGCTAATTAGTTTATAGTTGTCTGAGCAAAATATTTTGGATCCGTTGACCAGGCACCATCGGCAACAACCCAATGTGAAAGAGAATAAAGCAGATTCTAGCTGAAGAATAAATCAGGAAGAAGCACTGGAGGTGGATAGGATACACAATGAGGAAAGCACCCAACTGCGTCACAAGACAAGCCCTCACTTGGAATCCTCATGGTCAAAGGAAATGAGGAACTAGCAAAAAACACATTGCGTCTAGAAATGCAGACAGATATGAGAAGAATAAGCGAAAATTGGATAGAACTGGATAGGGAAACCCAGGACAAAGTAGGTTGCAAGAAAACTGGACGGCGGCATTTACGCCATTGGGAGTAACAGGCGTAAGTTAATAAGTTATCCGCTTCAACCAACATATTACACGCACGTAAGTACATATCAGTTATTCTGTTTGCAAAGATTTAAATGAACTACAATTCTGTTGAATAAGTTTAATCAGACTTGTTTCAATTACAGTGGATTATAGCAAACTTATGCTTATTAAATATTTATATGATGACGCTTAAAGATTAACAATAGTTTGAATTTTCGTTAAGTGTCAATAAGACAGCTAGGACGCAGCTGGACGATCTGGACTTCGCAGATGACCTGACTCTTCTATCACACACGCGACAACAAATGCAAGAGAAGACGACCAGTGTAGCAGCAGCCTCTGCAATAGCAGGTCTCAACATACATAAAGGAAAAAGCAAAATTCTCCGATGCAACACAACATGCACCAATCAAATCACTCTTGATGGGGATGCCTTGGAGGAAGTTAACACCTTTACATATCTGGGCAGCATCATCGACAACCAAGGTGGATCCGATGCGGATGTGAGGGCACGGATTGGCAAAGCAAGGACTGCATTTCTACAGTTGAAAAATATCTGGAAATCCAAACAATTTTCAACCAAAACCGAAATCAGGATTTTCAATACAAATGTCAAGACAGTTCTGCCGTATGGAGCGGAAACTCAGAGAACTATGAAAGCTATCATCCACAAGAAACAAGTATTTATGAACAGTAGTCTTCGTAAAATACTTCGGGATCCTTGGCCAGATACTATCAGCAACAACTTACTTTGGGAGAGAACAAACCAGATTCCAGTGTGGGAGGAAATCAGGAAAAAGCGGTGGAAGTGGATAGTACACACACACTGAGAAAACCACCGAACTGTGTCACAAGACAAGCCCTCAGATGGAACCCTCAGGGTCAAAAGAAAAGAGGAATGCCAAGAAATAAAGAAAGATATGAGAATAATGAATAGAAATTGGACAGAACTGGAAAGGGGAGCCCAGGACAGAGTAGGTTGGAGAACATTGGTCGGCGGCCTATACTCCATTGGGGCTAAGTAAGTAAGTAAGCATCAATTAGTTCCAGTCAATCATTGTTAGCAGTCAA